CAAAACCGCTTTTTTCCCCAAAATCGTTGATTTTGGTCAGCAAACCGCTGAACCAGCCGGTTAACCGTTCGAACGGTTTTGACGGTTTTCAATTTTTCAATTTTTAATTTTTTTTTTAATTTTTTCGTCAGAACGGGCCGGCCGTTCGGGTGACCATTCGAACCGATAACCGGACCCTTGACCGGTTTGGTCACTGGTTCGTTTTTAAAAACCATGCTTTGTTGTGTGTGAGAGAGAGAGAGAGAGAGAGAGCTCGCCGTCATCCCTCTCAATTCAATCCATAAGAAAATCTGTATCATTTATGATTTTTGTTTTTTCAGTAATTTATTTAACTATCATGATTCCTGAGCCCTTATGCTAATTTTTAGTCAAAAAGCTTGATTTTACTTTTCCTTTTTACCCTCTATAATTTTTGTTTTCCAGTAATTTATTTAACTATCATGATTCATGAGGTCATACGTCAAACTTTTTCCAACGATAAAAAATGAGAATGCAAACTGTTAACATGATTGTATCTTGATTTTATTTTTCATCTTTATCCTCAACAATTTTTGTTTTTCAATATTCCTTTTTGATCATTCAAGTATTTGATCTTATCATAAATGGTCACATACACTCTCTGGTGCTGACCTTGTTGCTACCTATTATTTTCATTTAAATCATTGCAACTGTGCCGTCCATAAATTCTCATCAATTACACACATGAAACATAAGGATTGCTAAATGGTAATTGGAGATCCTATAACCAATAATTTGTTGTTATTTATGTTTTTGATGAAATCATATATCAATAAGTTATTCTATAAATTCACCCTAATATTTAGAATAAAAATTAGAAATTCATGAACATCGTTTAGGATTAACATAATGCATGTGAAATCTAAACACCAAAACTTGAAATGATACAAAAGACGCCTCTTATTGAATCAATATTAATTTTAGTTAGATAATGAGAATCCTATTATGGGCTTAATAATAATTTAGTACTAAAAAAATTAGAATGTTGTAATTGGTTTGGTCAAAACACCCTAATTTTACTTTCCAACTTTACCCTTAGCTTTCTATTTATTCCCTTTGTATATAATGCCATTGCAAAATAATTATGAAAAAAATAAAATGAAGAAAATAGTATAAATTACAAAAAAACAAAGAAATACATAGAAAATTTCCTAAAATATATAGAAATTCTATACCATACTAAATGAGAATGTTGCAATTGGTTTGGTCAAAATACCTCGATTTGACTTTCTAACTTTACCCTCAACTTTCTATTTTTTCCCATTGTATATATGCCATTACAAAATAATTATGAAAAATCACATAAAATGAAAAAATAATATAAATTACAAAAAACAAAGAAATACATAGAAAATTTACAAAAATATAGAAAATCATAAAAATTGAATAAAAATAACATAAATTACAAATCTATACCATACCAAAAAATGAGAATGTTGCAATAGGTTTGGTCAAAAAGCCTTGATTTTACTTTCCAACTTTACCCTCAACTTTCTATCATTGCAAAATAATTGTGGAAAAACACAAAAAATGAAGAAAATAATATAAATTACAGAAAAACAAAGAAACCTAGAGAAAATTTATAAAAAAATATAAAAAATCATAACAATTAAAGAAAAACATAAATTAAAAAAAAAGAAAAAACATAAATTACAGAAAAATGAACAAAAATTATAGAATAAAATAAGAATTTATATCTACCACCATATATAAAAAATGAGAATGATTCAATTAGTGTGGTTGAAAGACCCTGATTTTTCATACCAATTCTACCCCTTAGTTTTTTGGTTTTTCTAACATATCCCAATTCTATATGAGGGTGCATGAAAGTAGTTGGCAAAGAAAAACCATTGTCCTTTCTAAAAAGCCATTGGGTGGGCACCCGACCCATCAACTCATTAATGACCCCTTTTAGGTTCAACCCAACCTAACTTGCCCAACCCATTAATTTTTCACATAATTTGTAAATTCTAGAAAAGTATAACTATAAAAAATACATAATATACAAATAAAGATAGAAAACATAGAAAATAACATAAATTCAAGAAAAAATAAAAATGCAAAATAATTATGAAAAACATAGAAAATGAGAAAAATAATATAAATTACAAAAAAACAAAGAAATACACAAAAAAATAGAAAATCATAAAAATTGATGAAAAATAACAGAAATTACAATAAACAAAGAAAATGATGAATTACAACAAAAATGAAAAGAAATTGTAGAATAAAACAAAAAATTTATAGAAAAATATAAAAAATGTATAACAAAAAGTACACAAAAATACAAAAGTTTCATTCCATGGGCCTAGACATGTTTGTCATTGGGGTCCATGTCTTATATGGGCATTTGGCCACTAGGACTGTATGTTATCATGTGTATGGTTGTTAATTAGGGCCTACAACTCCTGTCCTCAGTCATATGCAACATTATGATAAATTATGAATCGGTCAATTCTTTTATTCTTGGACAAATGTGCAAAGGTGATCAACATGCCTAAAAGGTGTTTGCATACATGTTACTCTAGTGGTTGGTTGATAAATTTTACTTTCAACTAATTTCTTTATTTCCTTCTTGGTTAAAAAGTAAGAAGAAAATGTTTTTAGGCTTAAATATAAGTTATTTAATAGTCAGCTTAGATAATGACTTATGCTATTCAATAGTTAATTGAGTAAATTGACATAATAGCTTATCTTACTCCTAATCATTAATAGTAATTATTTTCATAGGTTTTAATTTATTACAAAACATGAGATCGGTAAAAAATGGCATCTCCAATTCTCCATAAATTTTGTCATTCATTGGGATGAACTGTATCTATATATAATGATGTTGAATGTAATTTTATAATTGATTTGGTGCATTAATGTTTCAATCTAATGCATTTGCAACCAACATTTTATAATTATAAAATTCAGATCTTGGCATTTTGTGTTTTTTATGTATTATATAATTGTCTTAGGACTTGAATGGTATGTGAATTTTCATCTATGCTTGAGACGTAAAAGGATAGTCAAACATGACCATTAATATCAAATACCCTATGCATCGTACAGGCCATTCCACTAGTAATGTATAAATCCTACACCCAGAGGAGAGAGGAGAGAGGACCCAGACCAGTAGGTCTTCGTGGTGTGAATAGAGAGAACCAAAAGATTGAAAGTGCAAATGCATTGGGCATGTGTATTGAAAGGATGTTTGTCGAGTTAAAATGGGGTTAATTTAGTAATTTTGTATGTAAAATCATTCATAAAAGGGTAGAATGGGTATTTAGAAAAAATGATGCATCAATCTAACGTTTTTTGTCTGGGAAGGTGATGGAAGGGAGGTATTTGTCGAGTTTCTCAAAAGTTCAGGGGATGTATTTTTTAAAATGAAACTATAGGGGAGGCTTTTATGATTGTCAAAAACTTCAGGGGAGGTTTTTGTATTTTTTAACTTTAAAATATTTACTAAAATACAAAAGAATAATTATAATAGATTTAATAATATTCATATTATTAATAATTATATATATATTTCAAAATTTATCATGAAATTATGTACTAACAATACAAATTATAGTTTTATGGATTGTTCAATTTAAATGTTATTCAAATAATAAAATTTAACATTAAAAAAATTTATGAATTATTGAATTCAATAAATAATTAATATTTTAAAATTTAAATAATGATATTATTTAAATAACTAAATAATATTGTAAATAACTAATTTCACTTATATCAATTAATAATTCTAGAAAATAACTTTTAAAAAAGTAATATTTATTTATAATAATTTTAAAATCTTAATCTATATCTATTATATATTTATTTATGCTAAAATTAATATTTATTGTATTTTATGAGTTATTTATTCTGCTTTTATTATAAATTTATTTTTAATAATTGTGTATTTTTGCTATAAATTTTAATAATTATTGAAGATAAACTATTGTTATTTATTAGAGATTGAACTATTAATTTAGTTGAAATTAAGAGTGTTCATGAGTTGGTTCAATTTGATTTTAGGCTGTTTGGCCAACCATATCTACCTGGTCAGGTTGGGGAGTTGGTTACCTAAAACTGATTGACCATTAGTGAAAATTGGTCAACTTGGGTTGTATTAATTTGGGTTGATTTTGGGTTTGGTCAGTTGGTTCAAAAGATATATACTTAAAAAATTAAGTTTAAAAAAGAATTATAGTGGTATTATTAAAAAATATGTTAAAAAATTAAATTTATGATATAAAATATTTTAAACTAGGAAATATGAGAATTTTCCCACTTTCCTACATTAAAAATTATATTTAAAATATAAAATATTAATACATATCCATGGTTGAGTTGGTTCGATTTTGGTCGATTTACAAATGTTCAAACCAAAATTGACCCAACCTTATCAAGTTAGGACATTGTTGAACCAAAGCCGATTAGAAATACTAGAAAACCAACTAACTTGGGTTGAGTTGGGTTGGGTTGATCGGTTTCACCAGTTTGATAAGCAACCCTAGTTGGAATTAATTATTATTATTTTTGTATTGTAAAAAAATATCAAAAATAGTATATAAAATATGGAAAAGTATGGACAAGCCCAATGCAGATTTCTGATTTCCACTATAGAGCTATAAATATTCAAAATGTCAAAAACCCCCACTCTATACACCAATGTCCGCCCATGAATTGCATCAATTCCGAGCTGGCACCCACGCCAACTGTACTTTGGGCCTGGAAATTCTGACCGTGGGCTGAACTGTCAATCTCTCTTACTCTTGTGTATTTCTATTGTTTAACTTTTATTTAAAAAACTTGTGCATTGCATGTGTTCCTGCCGGTTAAGATTATACATCCATTGAAATTGGAATGTACATGAAAGAGAAGAGAATAGAAATTTTCTTTTCGAGGGCAGGGCAGAGTAGAGAAATCAAAATCATCCTTCCCAATTCCCATTCTCACTGTCATCAAGGTCTCATGCACTTCCAATCTTCATGTAGTTCCAAAGCAACCCACAATGTTGCGATCTGCGAGTGATGTGGAATTCTTCTCTCCCTTCTTGTTTGTTTGTTTTTGGCACACAATCAATTAGAGCAAACAGTCCAATTGGAGGGATATCGAGTGGAAGTCAAAGTAGGCATATTGCGGACATTTACGTCAAGAGGTAACATGCGGTATTCAATGTCGAGCTCTCTGAAAATTCTGATCATCTCTTCCACCACGAAAGCTCTCCTCGCCCACCTTTCCCCCATGTCCTGATGGTTCATGCGGTGTTGGAACCACACCGATATCTTCAACCTGTTCATGTCCTCCACATCCCTCACTACAACCATCGGGCCAGGGTACCAGTGGTCCTTCTTGTTCTCAATGTATCTGTAATTGCAGTCATATGATTTATTTAAAATCTATCAGAGACAACAGGCTTCTTCAGCAACCAAACTAACCACGCTCTCCAAGAAAAATACAAGTAGGTATATATCATATTGGTCCCAAGTCCCAACTTCATACGATTCATGAAATTTCTTAAAGAACCATTCAACCTAAAAACTTAAGTTGTTAGGTGAGGTCATTGAATAAATCGATATTCTCTAACAAAAATGATCTATGGGTTATAGTCGTTTCTTGATAAAGAATGGGCTAAGTTGATCAACCGGGTAATTGACAACGATCCCCGCATTAGTATGCCACTATAATGAGTCCCATGGTAAGCAAATTGATACCCTCTAAAGGGTGGATAAATTGCTTACCCCCGTTGATAATGCTAATCCCCTCTCACCTCTCCCTTTACCCAGGTAACCTGTTGAGACCAAGAACACTGAAATTGAAATTACCCGGACAAGTGAAACCTGGGAAATGCTTCCTTAGGTAAACTCACGTACCTAGGTCAGTGAAAACGAATGAGGCCATAGAGTAAATGCTTTAGCTGTTGGATTGGAATCAAAACCCATAGGCCATAGCCAATGGTAGAATGCATGTGTCTCCTTGATTCTGATTCCAATTTAACAATCAAAGGTATATTTTTTCTGATACGTTACTTTGCAGCATCTCAATAGATATCTGACACTTTGAAGATTACTTTGTTAACACCAAGAAAATTAGATTGCCAGATCAATAAAATTGATTTCTCCCTTTGATCTCCCACTTCCCCCTCAAAAGGAATTGAATAAACAGAATAGAAAAAGCAAAGAAGCACCAGATGCACCAACAGTGGCTTTGGTTAGGATCTATGTATGGATAGGATCCAAACGATAATCAGTCAACAATGTCTTAGCACTGAAAATGATCCACATACTGTCCTGCCTACTACATCTTGAAATGTAAAAATCATTTGGTTATAATCATCTATACTAAAGAATTGGTCTTACGGATTAGGTATCCGGATCCCAATTCAACGACCTAGATGCATACATGCAGTTGGTATACAGTCTCCCCTAGAGCTAACCATTCATATTCATATTGTTGAAAAGTAAATGGTAATTTTGTAATTTTTCTTTATGTTTTGTATTTTGTATTAAGTGGGTTGTCTTGGGAGTTGGAAGCTGAAAGGTCTCTACCGGAAAAGTAAAACTCCTTTATATTTCTTGTAATTTGAAACATTTTGTGATAGAGCTCAAGAAGTTAAGAACATAGTAAACCCAGAACTCTACAAGGGCTTTTCATATTCTTCTCTTCTCTTCATTCTACATTCCTCTTATCTTCTACAGATTTTTTGCTTCTTCCTTTGATTTTTACCACCACACTTCCGTTGCTCCAATAAACTTTTGGTATCAAAGCAAAGACCCACTCAATCATTCAAATTTAAAACTAAAACCTTACATGGCATCAAGTTCCAACAGCTCTGTTTTAGATCATTTTCAAAAATTTCCACTTCCTATTTTTGATGGAGAGAACTATGATTATTGGAGCATACAGATGAAGACATTTTTCACCTCTAAGGAGATTTGGGAGCTGGTAGAAGAACGATACGAAGAACTAGAAAATCGTAAGCAACTTGCAACATGGACTGAAGACAAAAAGAAAGAGTACAAAGAAAATAGGAAAGATGATGCTAGAGCCCTGTACCATGTTCAACAAGCAGTAAGTAAAACAAATTTTCCAAGAATCATGGTTCCCAAAAGCTCAAAAGAAGCATGAGATATTCTCAAGAATGAGTTTCAGGGCACCGAAAAGGTAATATCCACAAAACTTCAAACTCTTTGCAGAGATTTTGATAATATTATGATGAAAGAAAGTGAATATGTTCAAGGGTTCTTTTCTATAGTTGCTGGTATTGTAAATCAAATAAGGACCTATGGAGATGTTATCTCAGATGAGAAAATTGTAAAAAAAGTCTTGAGAGTTTACCAGTTAAATTTGATCATGTGGCGGTTGCCATTAAAGAAGCCAAAGATTTGACTAAACAATCCATGCATGAGTTAATGACCTCACTTCAAACTCATGATGATGGAATGAAAAAAATTTTATCTTCTTCACTAGAGTAAGCTTTTCAGTCCAAACTTACCATTGCAAAAAAGAAAAAGAATGATGGTGAAAAAGAAACTCCAAGAGAATGGTTATATCAAGGCAAAGGAAGAGGATACCAGAATAATGGAAGAGGACGAGGAAGAGGTAGATTGTATGGAAAATGAAGAGGTGAAAAGCAAAACAATGGTTGTTTTATTTGCAAGAAAGACAACTTTACCCCAAGACTGTTTTTTCAAATGTAAAAAAATGCAAAACTCATGTTCATGCCCCAAAAGATTGCAGATTAAAGGAGAAAGAACAAGCCCACTATACTGAAAATGATGATTTAGAAAACCATCTATTTTACTCTTGTATGAATACTCAACAAGAGCCAAAAGAAGTTTGGTATTTGGATAATGACTGTAGTAACCACATACGGGAAATAAAGAATGTTTTCTTGAGCTGAATGAACATGTTAATTCTCAAGTGAAGCTTGGAGATGGCAAACTCTAAAGTATTGAAGGAAAGAGTGTTGTTGCAGTCCAAACTAAGCAAGGTAGTTTTAAACTCATCTCAGATGTTCTTTATGTTCCTGGTTTGACTCAAAATTTGCTTAGTGTTAGACAACTTATACAAAATGGTTAGGAGGTGCATTTTGACAATGATGAATGTGTAATATTTGATAAGAAGAAATGTCAAATCATTGTTAGAGTAAAAATGGCTGCAAACAAAGTGTTTCCATTAACCATGTCCTATAATGTGAATTATGGGCCGAAGAGTGAGAAGTTGGATGAGTCCATGTTATAAAACTTGAGATATGGACACTTGAATTTCAGAAGTCTCTTTTTGTTAAATTATAAGAATATGGTGATTGGACTTTCTCAAATTGATAGAGAACATAAAGTATGTGAATGTTGCATCTATGGGAAGAATCATAGGCTACCATTTTCAGAGAGACCATGGCATTCAAAGGCACCATTGGAACTGGTTCATGCTGACATTTATGGTCCCATGAGGACACTTTCCTTCAACAAAAAAGATGTACTTTCTTCTCTTTGTTGATAATTTTACTAGAATGATGTTCATATATTTCTTAGATGCAAAATCACAAGCATTTCCTACTTTTGTTCAATTCAAAGCTTTAGTTGAGAAGCAAAGTGATTACAAATAAAAAGTTATGAGGACTGATAGAGGAAACGAGTTTAAATGGAAAAAAATTGGGAAGTTTTGTGAAGAACAGGGCATTGAAAGAGAGTTGATAGCGAGACATACCCCACAACAAAATGGGATAGTTGAAAGAAGAAATAGAATCATTGTAGAAATGGCATGAAGCATGATGCAAGGTAAAAATCTTATCAAAAATTTTCAGGCTGAAGTGGTTCATACTACTGTTCACATATTAAATTGCTCTCCCACCAAAGCCGTGAAAAATAAAACACTTTTTGAAGCATGGCACAAAAAGAAGCCTGTTGTTAGCTCATTTAAAGTATTTGACTGCATTGCTTATGCTCACATTTCCTTAAAGAAGAGAGAGAAGTTTGATGGCAAAGGTGAGAAATGTATCTTCCTTGGTTATAGTGATGAGCCCAAAGGTTACAGATTGTTGAATCTAACTACAAATGAGTTAGTAATTTCAAGAGATATAATATTTGATGAAGAGGGGGCATGGAACTTTGAAGAAAATTCCTCACAAACAAAAAATTATGTTATAGAAGATGAAGAAGTGATGCCCAATGACCATGAGCATGATACAACTACATCAAATGCAAGGCCAACAAACTTAAGAAGATCAAGCTTAACAAATTTCAATACAATAATGGATCCCTCAAGTTCAAGAAACCAAGATCCATGACAAGTATGCCCAAGTGATGTAGATTCGGATACTCCACCAAGAAATGTATGTTCACTTTAAGAAATCTTTGATTCTTGTGATGTTTCATTTCTTGCATTAGAACCACAGAAATTTGAAGAAGCTTCAAAATAAGTAGTTTGGGTGAAAACTATGAATGAAGAAATTTAAATAATAGAGAAGAACAAGACATGGGAGTTGGTAAATAAACCCAAAGAAAAAGAAGTGATTGAACTGAAATGGGTTTACAAAACAAAGTTCAATGAAGATGGGTCAATCTAAAAGCACAAAGCAAGGTTAGTGGCTAAAGGCTATGGCCAAAAGCGGGGGTAGATTTCTATGAGACTTTTGCACCAGTTGCAAGAATGAAAACAATCAAAACTATGCTTGTACTTGTTGCTCATCTAAAACTACAAGTGTTTCAATTTGATGTGAAATCAGCCTTCCTAAATGGAGATTTATAAGAAGTTTATATTAAACAACCACAAGGATATGTGATAAAAGGAAAGGAGGGGAAGGTTTATAAGCTTCGAAAAGCATTGTATGGCCTGAAGCAAGCACCTTGGACATGTAATAGCAAGATTGATAAATATTTTCATAAGAATGGATTTAAAAAAGTCCAAATGAACCATCACTCTATATCAAGAAGGAAGGAATGCGTAGTTTTATTCTTGTTTGTCTTTATGTTGATGATTTGATTTATACAAGTAACAACCCAAAATTGTTGAATGAGTTCAAATTAACAATGACTGATTTGGGATTAATGAGATACTTTCTTGGATTCAAATGGAGCAAAGAAAAGGAGAAATTTTTATGTCCCAAGAGAAGTATGTTGATGATTTGTTAAAAATGTTTCATATGTCAACATGTAAACCCCTAGCTACTCCTATGGTTGTCAATGAAAAGCTGTCAAAGGAAGATGGAGTAGAATTGGTAGATGCATCAATTTATAGAAGCCTTATTGGTTCCTTGATTTATCCCATTAATACAAGGCCAGATATTGTTCTTGCTGTGAGCATTGTTTCAAGATACACGAACAAGCCAAGTAAAGTTCATTTTTGAGCAGCAAAGAGAATACTCAGACATGTTAAAGAAACCAAGAACTTTGGGCTGAAATATGAAAGTGAAAATGATTGCAAGCTAGTGGGACTTTTAGATAGTGATTGGACTAGTTTCATAGATGACCAAAAAAGCACAACTAGATATATTTTCTCTTTGGGAAGTAAAATAATCTCTTGGTCATCAAATGGTGCAGTACGAAAATGAAACACGTTAAGAAAAATTTCAAAGAAAAGAATAGAAGTCAAACTATCAAGAAGAAGAATTCTTCACTGAATAATTAAGAGAAAATTCAATATAAGAAACTGTCTTAGCCTTCCCCTAGCTACTCTTTATATAGGCATACACCCTTATGGATCCTATTCTAAATCTAAAAACATTCCATAAAAGAATCCTACTAAAACTCTTTAAAAAGGAAAATCCTAATATAAGAAAACACTCCATAATAGAGTCCTACTAAAACTCTTTAAAAAAGAAAATCCTAATATAAGAAAACACTCCAAAATAGAATCCTTCTAAAATCCTTCAAAAGGAAAGTCCTAATTGAATATAAATTCGAAATACTGCTAACTTGGTAAAAACAAACTAAGATAGAAACTCTGTGATGGCGCCAATTTGGTAAAAACGAATTAAGATAGAAATCTTGTGATTATGCTATTTCGTTAAATATTTACTAAGCTGTGTCGATGGCATCATCTCTACTTCTTATATGTCTTGGAATGGTCCCAACTTGCATAGAGCTTATTGGCCTTCTTCTGTAAATGTTTACTCAGTTGGTTCAAATCCCGTACTACATCATTCTCTCCCAGGTTTGAGAGAATCCAACGTCGGATTTATGTTACTATTTAAGAGGCTACTACATATGTTGTTGCACTTCCACCTTGCTTTTTTGTTTCTAACCCTTTGACAGATAATTGGTGATGTAAGCCTCCAATATGAATTGAGATTTCTTCATTGTATATCTTAAATTTTAAAGTATATTTCTTGCACTTCACAGAACCTGAATCTTCTTTTATTGACCATTTTGAGCATTACAAGAGTGCTTGCCAATAAGGATTTTCATAGATGTGCATGTAGACAATGTGATCATAATCCCCAAGATGATAAGTATTATCTTCATCATATTGAAATTCATAATGAATGATGGTGTATTTCTCCTTAGTAATTGATTCTTCATCATAGATTGGAGGTTTGTTCCAATCAAGTTTCTCTTCAAGAGATATTGCTGATGAGAATTGCCACACAAGATTTTTGTTACAATCCTCAACAAAATTAAAACAATCAACAAAGTCATAAGATTTGGTTTTACCTTTAGACTTTGAAATTGCTAACTCCTCTATGGAATTCCAGTCAATGAATTCATTTGAGGCTATACCTCCATTAAACTCTGGGAACTCAACCTTGAGATCTGTTTCCGATTGCTTTTGTTCACCACTTGCAACTATAGCTGATTTGGTTGTTTGCCAAGTAGAGAAACTTGCATGAAACTTTGGGATCTCAATATTGAAACCTATTTCCCACTATTTCTAATCACCACCCGCAATTATAACCGACTTGGATGCTTGCCTTAATGATGAAAAGGAATGAGCGGAAGCACTTGCATTAGAGTTGTTGTCCCTTTGCAGCGATTTCAGCTCTTGAGCAAGTGCCTTGACTTGTCTTCTCAGCTCTGCTACGTCTCCTTACGTTTTGTTGTTGGGTTCCTGCTCCATGATGTGAGCTACTTGTTTCTTCTTAGGAGCCATAATCCGAAGAAGGATCAAACATGAGCTTTGATACCAAATGGCATAGTACGGAAATGAAACACGTTGAGAAAAGCTTCAAAGAAAAGAGTAGAAGTCGAACTATCAGGAAGAAGAATTCTTCACTGAATAATTAAGAGAAAATTCAATATAAAAAATTATCTTAGCCTTCCCCTAGCTATTCTTTATATAGGCATACACCCTTATGGTTCATATTCCTAATCTGAAAACACTCCATAATAGAATCCTACTAAAACTCTTTAAAACAGAAAATCCTAATCTAAGAAAACACTCCAAAATAGAATCCTACTAAAATCCTTCAAAAGGAAAGTCTTAATTGAATATAAATTCGAAATAATGCTAACTTGGTAAAAACGAGGTATGATAGAAACTTTGTGATAGTGCCAACTTGGTAAAAACGAACTAAGATAAAAATCCTGTGATGATGCTATCTCAGTAAATATTTACTAAGCCGGGTCGGTGGCGTCATCTCTACTTCTTATGTGTCTTGGAATGGTCCCAACTTGCATAGAACTTATCGGTATTCTCCTGTACTACATCAGAAGCAAAATACTGTGGCACTTTCTTCAGTTGAAGCAGATGCATTTCAGCCACTAGTGCATCTTATGAAGCAATTTGGCTTAGAAGACTTTTGGAAGACCTTCAATTTGTGCAAGATGGTGCAACTACAATCTACTGTGACAACACTTCAACTATTGCAATGACCAAGAATCCAGTTTTTCATGAAAGAACAAAGCGCATTGAGCTAAGGCACCACTTCATCAGAGAGTTAACTAAGAAAGGAGAGATTGAATTGAAGTTCATCAAGATAAAAGATCAAGTTGTTGATATTTTCACCAAGTCTCTAGCTTTTGAAAAATTTCTGCATTTTAGATCTCTAATGAAAATTACAAATTAAGAGGGGGTGTTGAAAAGTAAGTGGTAATTTTATAATTTTCCTTTATGTTTTGTCTTTTGTATTAAGTGGGTTTGTCTTGGGAGTTGGAAGTTGAAAGGTCTCTACCGTAAAAGTAAAACTCCTTTATATTTCCTGTAATTTGAAAGGTCTCTACCGTAAAAGTAAAACTCCTTTATATTTCCTGTAATCTGAAACATTTTGTAATGGAGCTCAAGAAGCTAAGAACGTAGTAAACCCAGAACTCTACGAGGGCTTTTCATATTCTTCTCGTATTCTCTTCATTCGACATTCCTCTTCTCTTCTACAGATTTTTTGCTTCTTCCTTTGATTTTTACCACCACACTTCCGTTGCTCTAACACATATATAACACTAAAGTGATCATGTGAAACATGATTTTCACTGAATTTTGTAAAACAACAAATTTAATTTAACTTGATAATTCAAAAATGAGTTTTAGAGGGTCATAGCATGAAAGAAGGTGACAGAAGTGCATATATAGTAACACTGCCTAACAACTGCTAGTTCGATGATGTTAGAGAACAAAACCTATTCAAGGACCTCACTTAACAGCTTAAGTTTTTAATTTGAATGGTTTTCTGAAATGGTATTAGAGCCACTTTGACTAAGTGGTCTAGTGTTCGATTCTCGTCACCATCATTTTAAAACCTATTCAAAGACCTCGTTTAACAACTTAAGCTCTTAAGTTGAATGATTTTCTGAGAAATGAGAACTTCCACAATGACCTTCTGGACCAGTCCATACCCAAAACTTGAACTGAAGAGTAAAATGCAGGCATTTTTTGTTCCAAAGGATTGGTCATATTGGCGGAGACTGTTCTTAAATGAAATGGAAGGCATTTGAGTTGACTCAGTCTGGTATATTGAGTGAGGTTCTGGTCACATCAGAAGTTGCGATCAAAGTCAACTCAGCTGAGTCAGTGCTAACTTGTCAGCTACAGTCCTACAATATGGTATCGATTGATTATTCTGCCATCACAAACCAAGAGAGATGGTTTTCTTTTCTTTCTTATTCCTTTTCAAAGGGGGGAGCCGGGGAGGGAGGAACCAATCAAGCAACAGAAAATAATTGAAAGGCAATGAAAAGTAAATAGTCGAGATGAGACGTACTCTATTATTCTTTGTTTGATGATAGCAATTTTTTCTACTGGAGTTGAAACGTGGACACAGAAGTCAATAGCTTCTCCCATATCAGGACTACGATAGAAATTACTGATAGGCTTGGTTGAGAGAACACTGTTTGGATATATTATCTTCTGGTTGTCATACCGTAGAAATACCGTACTTAAGATGTTCATCTCTTCCACTATCATCTGATACAGGAGCAGAAGTTAAAGTCCCTACAACCTTAAACAGTTCACATGAACAAACTTCTCTGTGCATGAATATTCTAAAAAAAAGGAGAGAGAGAGAGAGATTACCTGAACTCCCTCCACTTCGCACCGATCACCAACGTCATATGGGTGCATTGCAAACAAGAAAATTATTGATTCGAATACCGTCTTACATGTGTTCCCAAAGATAAATACCACCACGAGGATCTGAGAGGAAATAGCGACCAAGAGACGGCTGGTTGTAATCCCGAGTATAAGAAGCCAGATAATCACTATGATGATGCCCACAATGACATTTACCATCTGATGGAGTTTGTTAACAGCTGTTTTCGTATCATTTAGTGTCAAGGCAAGAGCTCTCCTTTCTCTAAATGCATTAACCTGAAAAAATTATCACCCTATCATGTTTATCAAGAGTAGAATAGAAACTGCACACGTGAAATTCCAAAGCCTAAGCAAGCAACTCCTAGAAGCTCAATATGCCTAGCCATGGTGGTTTTGTATTGAACAAAGGGTTACTGCTATATTGAGAAATAGACTGCTAACCATGCTCAATTTAGAATCAAGAAGAAAACAGCATGAACTTTCCCTTTCAGTAAAAGAATAAATTATTGGAGACAATATAGTGATTTTGGGTCTATTTGCACAAGATCCAGCTTTATCCCACTATTTCGATGCTCACAAGATAAAAGATGTAGATGATAGATTTCTATACTGCAAGAACAGCCTTTTTATTATTTCCTTTTTTATTTTTTGGAAGAACAAGTTTTTTTTTTAATCTTTAGCATTTATAACATTCTTTTTTGTTTCTCTAGATGGTGTTTTATCATATAGATACAGATAACTTGAACAATATCCTTTCTCATATTTTTCTTCATGTTGTATGTCTCCCTACTTTTCCACCACAGTCAACATAATTCTTGTGGCTGCATTTTTTAGGTTTTCAAATTTACCCAACAACATAAGTGAGTCGTTATCTACCACAAGTAATGAGAATGGTAATAACCTTGTAAGAGTAAGAAAATAAGCCTACATAGAAATTCCGTTTCTGTGAAATGGAAAAATATTCTGTATATGTTTTTATGTATTGTGAAATTGTACTGGAAAAGTATTCCTTTGAGTGAAAGAATATATCTCCACAAGTAAGCTAGTATTGGTTCAGATGTGCTTTAATTAGATGTATTCAGCCTTTTCTACCATGCGGAATCACAATTGTGGAGAGAGAGAGAGAGAGCATACACATGCACAGGTGTGCATGTCAAATGTCTTCTGCAATATTGAAAAAGGAATATTTTTTTTGAAAAATATATTAAGGGTATTACTATATAGGGGTGTCAATCGGACCAGGTCCAATCCAATCCAATGAATATTTTGGACCATTTTGGACAGGAAAAATGACCTACCACCCAGTTCTTCAAAGCTGACTTGCTGATTCTCTTATTTTCAGTGGCTCCTTCAAATAGACTTATGGTCTTCAAAGCTTCATCTTCTCTCAAGAATCGCATAAGATCCTCGGGGTAGATATACCTGTCAAATAAAAGTTAAAAAATTCTAAGACAGGAAAAGGTAAAAGAGGAAACATGAATTTATTTGTATACTCTAAGGAACATTTGCAGAATGTCAAAGGTTGCAAGTTACTCCATGGAACAAACTTGACATCAAAGATTCCACACAAATATCCCAACAACAAAAGGGAGAAAATTGAAGAAAAAAATTGCAGCCAACAAAGGAAATTCTCTAGCAAAAAATTCCAGTTACCCTTACAACTGGGAAGAAGGAAAAAAAAAATGCAATTTAGAAGCTCTCAAAATTTTAATCCTCTGTTTCAGGTTAGGATCATTTTAATCCACGCAAAATTCAAACAAGGGACACATCAACCGAATACTCGGTGTGCTCAATGAAGAAGAAAAACCCGCATTCCCTTTAAATATTAACATAGAGCTGCAGAATTATGAAGCTTCTCAACCAAGAACAAATAATTCACAAAAAGGAATCTATATATATATATAATGGAAAGAGGAAGGAAAGGAGGTGAGGAGGTGAGGGGTTCTCTCACCACAAATCTCACATGTGACTCCTCTCCTTTCTCACATATGCGCATATATGTTTTTTAAATGAAATGACTAAAAATATAACAAGTCATCAAAATTAAAATTTTCATGGGTTTCCATTGTCTCTCATAAAATTCATATTTACTCTCTAATAAGATCATTCTTAAACCCCCCCCCCCTCTCTCTCTCTCCCGCTTAATAGTCAATATTTGTAACATCTCCCCTCACTATTAAATCTCTTCTTTTCTCTTAAATCTCTCTTAATCCCTTTTAACTCTTTTTAATAAAGTAGGGAATGGAAATTAGATGGAGGGGGTTAGGTTAAGGGCTAACTTAAATATGAACCCTAGCTTGGAGCCAAACTAATGTCAAAACCCAAATGTAAATACATGAGGTGTACCAATCTTCTTCTTATATTAAAGTCATAAGAAATCATTGCTCATTTTCATGGGTTATAGAGCTTTTGTCACTTTTTTTTTATGTATTAATTTAATGTAAATGTGTTTCATCGATTGTTTTGGCTCATTAATAAAATGTAGTAATACAGCACATAATGTGAGCCTTTCTTTATCTCTGTCAATTCAAATTTGTATTTTTTTAACTTGGATATTTATCTCATCCTAACCATGTTTTTTCAGATTTATAGTGCTACACAATGGGGTTCCCCCAATCCTACGAGCAGTGGGATTTGATCCCAAGTCTCGGCAACAAGTAGAGAACCTACCAATTCCAATTGAGTCACCATCAGTTGGTTCTCATGCTAAATAGTTAAAAAAAAAAAATTCCTACTATTTTATTTTTATATGTAATGAACCAGAAATACATAAAAATTTTGGTGAATTTCTACTACTTCATTTATCCCTTAAAAGTAAAAGGGAAAAAAGCAAAAAGCAAAAAGCACTTGTAAGTGGTGGCCGGCATCAAGTGGAACCAAAGTCGACAAAAGAGAAATACATCCTAAATCCTAATGAAAGAGAATTCTTAGACGGGGAAACAAAAAGCAAAAAGCAAAAGGCAAAAGATGATGATAAGGAGAGAGGAATCAGGGATGGAAAGGAAATGTATACATACTTGGAGCCATGCCTAGTCACATTGTTGAATATCTTCTTTGCAGCAGCTTTTGCTTCAAATTCACTCCGTATCTGCATGGATGGCTCGTCATTGTAAGTGGAATCCGAAATCCTTTCATCCAGTGTGGACAGAACGCCATACCGAATTATATTCATCAGCCTCTTCATATTCCAAGCAGAGATATTCTTCTGGTTCAACTTGTGCAGGTGGTCAATTGTGATGCCCTGATCATCTGGTTGCTTAGAAAGTGTACCGGAAAGCCTGAAGCTCTTTGCAACCTTGAGACTCCTCTGGATAACATCATTATTTACAATTACTCGCTCAACTTTGTTCGACGATAAGGCTGCGGCCCGGAGGTCGGGGGGTACCTTAGCACCCGCATTCTGGAGGTTCCGAACCTCGGCCATGATCCTCTCGTTTTCTTCCTGTATATGCTGGATTTCAATCAAAGGGGGCCCGGAGAGGGTCTCTATCACATATTGATTGAAAAGAGAATCCTGAATCCTATCAAAGTAGGTGCTGACATGGAAGGACGATGCTAGAACCTTAACTAGCAGTGTTTTTACGAGCCATATAAACGTAGTTACTAAGAGTGAGAACAAAATCTTGGTTATGTAAGGCACAATCATACCATTTGCATCTTTCTCCATGTTCCTGTCCAACATCGCATGCCAAGTGATCAAAACCAGGACTAACCAGATACAGTTCTGAACAGCCTTCCTCACCCCATACACAAAATACAGAAGCCGCTTTCGTAGAAGGAAGTTCCGCTCGATGAAGAACACCACCAGATGAATCCCCCACCCGGAGACTAAACGCCCACAAATCAATACCAGAATAAGGACCTCCCATTTCCATAAATGGAGTCTCCACACGGTCTTGTGCTCCAGCGCAGGGATTGAAAGGCTGCAAATTAGTGCTGCCACGAGTAAAATTAAACTCACCCATTGAATAAGTGTGAAGGCACCGATCTTCACTTTCTTGTATTCTTCCGGAATGTCCTCCTGCAAAAAAGGATCGTCGTCGTCCTCCTCGCCTGTCTTCCCCATCAACCCGGATTTCAACTGCCCGGATTTCGCCACTCTCCCTGATTTCCGATCATGTTCCTCCGGTGGATCCAGGAGCCTTGACTTGGTCCTTGTTGGCAACAGGCTCGAGTTGCGCCGAAACGTTGCATTGGAAGTGCATTTCAAAACCTCTCCTTTGCCATCACCACCACTCAAATCCGCCAGATGATTGTATTGCTGCCGTTGATTCTGTTCCTCTGTGTCCGACGATTCCTTGTAACGTCGTCGGATGGAATCCGGGGCTATCTCAACGCAAGGCTCTTGGAAGGAGACCTTGTGATCCCTAAACGAAGCCTCCCTGTTCACTGGGCTGTCCACAAAGGAAGCGGAGTTCCGATTATTCTGAAGCTCGGCCATCTCCAAGTCCATATCCAATAACATCTCTCCCGATTGCTTCTGTTTATCCAAGAACTGCTCGATCAGCTTCAACGGCGGATCGTCGACCCCTTGCGGTTGATTCTGAAAGAAGAAGCTATCGGCATCGGCGCCCGATGCATGTTTGTCAATGTTCTCGGCCACCATGCTTTCATCCTTCCAGAACTCGTAGCTGGATTCCCGCCATATCCTAATACCGGGCTCCACCACCTGTTGAATATCTGTGCTGTTGTTATTGCGAGAATTAGTCTGTTTTCCGTTATCATTGTTGTTGTTGTCGACCTTGACGACAACCTCTCTGCGATTGGTCGGAGAGCCAGATTTGGATATTTGGTCGTCGATATCTACTAAGAGGATATGCTGCTCTTCCTGATTCGGTTCTTGCCCGGTGGCCGAGATTTTGCGAATGTGTCTTGAGGAAGAATGCGCTTTAAAGGACCTTGTAAGCGATTCCATGAAATGATGAAAATAGAGGTTGTGGTTGGTGCACTTACAACTTACAGAATGTCTGGGAGATCGAAGAGGGAGGGTGGTCTCGTGAGTTTCAACCACCTGAACAGAACCCTCGACATAGATTTATCTTGTCGCGCCTTCTTTTGTCTGATTTCTGCTACTGAGAAAGAAAGGGCACAGAGAGAGAAGCAAAAATACGAAGAAGCCCTCCCTGCAGGATGCTGCGACTCTGCAACAAAGAACAGTTGAACAGGTGACCCAGAGCCAGAGGACGACGACAAATCGAATCGATAGGAGTATGCAACGTAAACATAAACGTCTAATCCGTGCGTTTCTCCCCTCCGCTTGGTCTCTACTTTTTTAGTTTGTAGAAAGGTCTCCAAGACTCCAACGAAACAATAAACAAACGACTTTTTATTTTAATAAATTAAAGGATAACTTACACAAACACCCTTGTAATATCGATCAGTGACAACTATCCCTGAATTTTCATTTGCTGTAACAAAAGATGCACCCGAAACTTCCGGACTTTTTGCTCCGAAACCCTCAAACTTTCGACCCTGAAAATAAAAAGGGTCATTTTCGATCCCAATGTCGCAAAGGGAACCTCGGGGTAACTCGGAGGGTACCTGCAAGGAAAAACAAAGTTATTAGAAAGTCTTGGTCAAGTAAGTAAGGGCTGAGCTCCCGAAGCATGGTTTTCAAAACCGGACCGGACTGGACGGTTAGACCGGAAAAATCAGTAACCGTTCAGTCCCCGGACCCGGTTATACTGTAAACCAATAAATCCTAAAACCCATTGAAAAGGTAAAAAATAGCTGACTCGGGTGGTTGAACCACTAAACCGTTTGACTTGGGCAACGGTTTGCAGGCTATGAAATTCATTTTCGTTGAATTAAAAAAAAATAAAAAACAAAAGAAGACCCTCATATCCCCAATTCCCAACTCTTTCGAATTAGGGTTAGAACGAAAGTCATTCATTTTCGTTATAACCCTTCCTTCCTCTCAGCCATCATACCTCGACTGACGACCTGTGGTAGCCACGACTTACGGCGACTGACAGCGATTCACGGCGACCGGCGACAATTGTGAGCTTCATCTATGTCGGTTTGCATTTTGTAATCAATAGCAACAAGGAGCCCAGGACTTAGAGCGGTGGCCGACGATTTTGCAGTAGTGGTTGGGGGTTTCTAACATGTTGCGGCAATAGCAATTGGCAGTTGACACTTGCCACTTGGAACTTGGAAGCAATACTTTCCTCCCAGAGTTGTAGCGGCAATCACCGGCAACCAAACTAGAGTCCACAGGCGGCAATTTTTGTGAGCTTAACACCATCACACCACCATTACCGGTAGTGAAACCGTGAAGGTATAAAATGCTTTGCTTAATTGATTCTTTGAATTTTTTTGCTTAATTAATCTTGCTTAATTTTCTTTTTCTGAATTCTTTGATTAATTAGTTATAGAGAGTCACATACTCACATTTGCTTAATTAGTTTTGCTTTATTATTTTTTTTTTCAATTCCTTGTTTATTTGTTATGTCAAAGTATGACGATGATGATGTGAAAAGAATGATAAAATCGCTTTTTATTTTCAATTAATTAATCAAATGATGGTTATTTGCTTAAATTAATTGCTTCTTGATTCTTGATTTTGCATTATTAATTTATTATATAATTTTTGCTTCTTGGTTCATGCATGGATTTATTGATGCAAGATTACATTGCATATATTTTGTGTAAATGAATGTGCTTGTATGGAGTGATTTTATATTTTGGTTAGTTATTTTAGTCAATTAATGTGTTATTCTAAAATTTAAATTTTAAATTTTGTGTTTGTATGGATGGATTTGTTTTTAAGTTGGGTTTATTTGATTGAATAAAGATGGTGGAATCCCAAAGTCTAAATACTAATACATCTGATACAACTCCATCACAAGAGTCCATTTCATCAAATGCTAGAGCAAAAACATATTCTTCTTGGGAGCATGTTTCCCTTAAAATTGACCCTCTTAATCATCAAAGTCAATGACATGTTTTTGTTGTCAAAAGACTTTTAAAGGGGGAGGGGTTAATAGGATGAAACAACATCTTGCTCAAAGGAAATGTGATATTGCAATTTGTCGTAAAGTACCCTATGATGCAAAATACAAAATGGAGCAATTGTTCAATGAAATGAATGAAAGAAAAAGAAGTGAAAAACAGCCTATGAATTTTGTTGATGACACTAGAACACAGTGTGGAAAGAATGATAATGATAATGATGTTGAGATTAGGGAAATAGATCCACCTATTACACATGATACTTATCAAGGGAAAAAATCAATTACATCATCGGGAAAGGAAAAGCATATTCAAGGCTAATAACTAGCGTCTTTTGTTACATGGACCACTCTAGGTGCACAACCAGGTATTAAGAGTGTATTGGCATCTAAGGGAAAAATTAGTTATGTGGATTGTGTTGTTATGAAGTGGATATGTGATGCACTTGCTACTATTGGTTCAGGGTACAAAGCTCTTTCTTTTCATAATTCTAGGACCAATTTGTTAAAGGATTTAGTTCAGGAGGTTCAAATGTCAGTTGATAAACTCCATAAGGATTGGGCTATATATGGTTGCACTATAATGGCTAACGGTTGGACAGATATACGCATCTGGACATTGATTAATTTTTTAATGTATTGTCTTACAAGAACTGCATTTATGAAGTCTGTAGGTGCTTTTGAAACAATCAGGAGTGTAGAGAATTTATTTCCTTTGTTTAAAGAAGTTATTGATTGGGAAAAATCAGAAAATGTTGTTCAGATAGTCACTGACATTGCTGCAAATTATGTAGTTACAGAAAGATTATTGGAAGCAGAATTTCTATGGACTTATTGGTCACCTTGGGCAACACATTGTTTGAACTTGATGCTAAAGGAAATTAGGGAAATGGGTTATATTGCAAATGTAGTTCAATGTGCATCTAAAATTATAAAATTTGTCTACAATCATATTTTTGTACTCTCAATGCCAAGGAAGAGACCTAGTTGAGTTGAGATAGTATGTCCTAGACCCACTTGCTTTGTAACTAATTTCATTGCATTGGATAGCATTTTGAAGCACATGCATGATTTGCAAAATTTGGTAATAGATCAAAGTTTTAATGACTTTAGGTATGCCAAAGATGCAAAGGGGAAGGAAGTAATACAAATAGTTTTGGATTTTGAATTTTGGGCACAATGCAAAATGATTGTGGGTTTCACATCACCTCTTATTAGGGCATCGAGACTTGCAGATTCTGAGTTTAGGCCTGCAATGGGGTATATGTATCATGCTATGTTAAAGGCAAAGGAATCATTGAAAAAGTATTTTAATTATAAGAAAGTTGTATATGGCCCAATCATGTAGATTATTCATAGAAGATGGAATAGACAAATGGGTCAAAGGCTTCATCTTGTAGGATATTATTTTAACCCGACCTTTCAATATGATCCGAAATCAAAAGTTAATTCCCCGGCCATTATATCTATAGTTTTTTATGTCATTGAAAAGCTTGTAGTCAAATCAGATGATGTAGAGATAAAGCTAAACAAAGAGGCTACTATTTTTGAAAGTTGTGGTAATTTTGGAAGACGGGCCGGCCTGGCTCCCGGACGGGCCTTGAACAGGTATATGGGCCCGCAAGCTTAACCTCGGGCCAAAAAGCCCGGCCCGCAATAAATTCGAGCCGGGCTCGGGATTTGCCAAAATAGCCCGGCCCGGCCCGACCTATAATTAAACCTAAAAACCATAATTGAATACCCCTCTTTTTTTCACCTCTTTGCCTCTTTCCCTTCTTTTTCCAACCGAACCCTTCTTCTCCACATCCTCTTTCCCTTCTTTATATTCTTTTTTTAATGTAAATAAATTATGATTTATATTGATTATTGAATTCAGAATTTATATTGAATTTATATTCTTTTTTAATGTAAATAAATTCTGATTTATATTGATTATTGAATTTATATTCTTTTTTAATGTAAATAAATTTTGATTTATATTGATTATTGAATATGAAAAAATTCTAATTTTTTTATTAGGTCAGGCTTCGGGCTCGGGCTTCGGGCCTAACATATTTCCATTAATGAAGAGTAAAAGCCCGGCCCGAACCCGGCCCGGCCCGGCCCATGAACAGGTCTAGTGAAGACATTTAAGTCAATGCCTCCAAGTAATAAATATATTTTTTTCTTATAACATGTTTATTATTTCAATTTTATTTAATAAATTAAATCAACTCTATTTCATTACATATAGGTGAATGGTGGTTGAGATTTGGTTGACACTCCAAATTTCAAAAGAATTGTTGTACGGACCCTTAGCCAGACATGTAGCTCATCTGGATGTGAACACAATTAGAGTGTTTTTAAACGTATACACACACACACACACACGAAGAGAAGGAATAGGTTGGAGCACAAAATGCTTAATGACCTAGTATATGTTCATTATAACCTGCATGTGATGGATGGGTAAGTGTTTTATGTTTCATAATTGTCTATTTTTTGTGCTTTCGTTGCATCCAATTTATCATTTATTGCTTTGTAGGAGAAAATTGAAAGTCTTGACCCAATTGGGCATGAACATGTTGATGTTGTGGAAGATTAGATTGTGCACGATGATGAGAATCCTCCATTACTTGATGGTTATGAAGAGGGCGATATATTTAAAGCTTATGAGACAACATTTCTAATAATGAAATCACCATCAAGAAAAAGAGCTAGGACTAATGGTAACTATTATTGATATTATCTCAAATGGCATTTCCATACTTGATTCTTTTAGCTATTTTTTGAGTTCTAATTTTCTGTTTTCATTCTTTAGATGGTGATGATAATTTTTCATTGAGAAATGGGGAATCGTGGAGGAAAATGTAGCCAACACCAGACTTGAAGATGTAGATGAAACATAACCTCTTGAAGATGAAGATGAAGATGATGTTGAAATACCACCTGGCTTTGGTTGTTAGTTGGTACCATTGAGAAAGGAGGCTAGCATATATTTTGAATTTAGATTATTGGATTAGTACAATTTGCATGTTGGACTTGAAGTTTTGATTTGTGTTTAATACTTGTTGAACTTGGTTTGTGATCTTTTTATTTTTGAGTACCTAAGTATTGTGTTTGATGAATTAGGAATGCATGATGTTATGGCAATATCTATGGAATCTTTTGCAAATTTTCTTCTCTTGTCTTCTTAATATTTTTGTACAAGAAGTCCAAAGGAAACTTTGAGAGACTTGACCATCTGAAGGGGTTCCTTTCCATTTGTATAGGTAATGGCATTTCTAAAAAAAGTCTTGCTTTTATTTAGTTTTACTTCTTGTTATGTACAGATTCATTGAGTTACAATTTCTAATGTACAGCTGATTGTATTTGCTATGAATAAAAGCGAATTGGTTAGAGTAGAGATGTTTGATCTTCAAAAAGCTCAAAGGTACTTGAGTTTTTCCCTCATTTTCTAACATATAACAGATTATAATGGCATGAATGTTTAGGAAAACATTATTTGAAGTTTACTCAACTCTATGTTGATATGAACTAGATAAGCAAATTGTTTGAACTTTAGGAAAACATTGTAGTTTAGTGAACTCTATGTTTATATGAACTAGATAAGCAAATTGTTTGAACTTTAGAAAAACATTGTAAGTTTAGTGAACTCTATGTTTATATGAACTCAAACTTTTTGTGTTTTTTTTTTGTATTTTTTTATATTTTCTGTGAACATATGACTGAACACATATCACTAAAACATCCTACGTTCTTTTTTATGTTTTTTCTGTATTTGTTTGCAATTTTCTATTTTTTACATTTTTTTGTGTTTTTTCTATATGTTTTGGATTTTTTTTTGTATTTTCTGCACATGTATGAGTATGACTAAAAACATCCTAATTTATGATTATTTTTTTCTGTATTTTTTAGAATGTTTCTATACTTTTTTTTGTATTTTCAATGTGTTATGTACTTTGTTATTTTTGTATTTAATAGTTTTATTTTTCTGCATTTCTTGATTTTTTATGTTTTTCTATATTTTATTTTTATATTTTCTATGTGTTTTGTATTGTATTATTTATGTATTTAGATAGTTTTATTCTTGTATTTTTTTTTGTATTGTATTTAATTTTATGCTATTTTTTATTATTTGTGAATAAATTTTTTTTATTTTTAATTGATTTATGACATCACGGGTCGAACCATTCGATCCAAACGGTTGAACCGCTTAACCGAAAAACAGTCCCCATATCGGTTCTGTTTCCAAGTTGTTTTTAAAAACCTTGTGCCGAAGTGATATGGAACATAATGAAACCAAAAGTCCCTAATCCATATTTAACGAACCTTTATATAAAGCAAGGGTCGTTTGTGTCAAATGAGACATGTTGGGGTGACGTAGGACACTTGGAGTCTCCTAAAGGACATGTGCAGCTCTCGATAGAATACCTGGAGCTTGGATAGGACATGTGTAGTCTCCCTTATGCCACATTGCTCTTGCATGGAGAGGTCCTAAGACCCATTGATTGACAAGATGGACACACATGATGATGGCATTGGCAATGACTGTCAACGATGACTGGGGGTGTCAATTGGACTGGATTTGGTCCAATGTGATCCAGTCCAATGTGAGTCCATTACAAATGGACCTAGTCCAATCCAATCCAATGAATATTCTGGACCATTTTGGATGGGTCCAATTCAATGTTCGGACCGTCCAATCTGTTCAAATTCACTTTAATTTAGATTGGTTTCAATCCAAACCCGGTCAATTGGCACCTATGTTCTTATCTTATATCAATGGATTAGATATTGGCTTAATCCAACCGAATCCAATATAAGTTTGTTATGGACAGACCAAGTCCAATCCAATCTAATAAATATTTTGGACCGAATTGGTCCAATCCAATATATCTTATTGGTCCATTCAATCCATCCAAATTGATTTTGGACTGGACAAGTCCAAAATCACATGGTGGAGTTCAGTCATGCTTCCATTGAGGTCGCTTAGTTAAAGGGGTCGTGTCAGTTCATGCTACGAACTTGGGTCATACGCCAAGTCATCACTTGGTGTCCTGATGGTTTAGTCGGAGTAGCTGCTAGGTTGTTCCCAACAGGTTCAGCTCGTCGAAACGAGCTGAGTATGGCAAGGTGGTTCCTAGTGCTAGGGGTGCTCATGCTTTTGTGACACATTTTTTAAACCAAACCGATATCACCAGTTTTTACATTTATCTGAATCAAAACCGAACTAAAACAAGCAATTAACCGATCTTCGATTTTTCAGTTTTTTTATATTGTAATTTTTATTAAAATGAAAAAAAAAATCAAATTCAAATAAGAAAATCAACCTGTAATGCTACATATGATACGTTTTTCAGAAAAACATCAATCAACCTCATTATTCTCTCAAAAAAACCTTAAACCTGTAAATCCATGATCATCCATTAATCAATCTAAACCGAAAAAAGAAGAAAAACCTATGCATCCATTAACATGAAAACGTAATGAATCTAATGATACGTTTATCATTAAAAATTTCAATCAATCTAGTGTGATGAACCTAAAGAAGTGAGAAGAAAGTTGATTTTGAACAGAAAGATCACACACGCACTGGGTGATCATTGATAGTATTAATAGTTGTTTTGATATGGTTATCATGTACAAGGATAAATACAAGTGGAGATCAGATTGGTTAGGAATTTTGTCTTATCTTGATAAGTTATAGAAGATGAGGCAAAATTATTTATCTTGGATAGCTGGTATGTGGGCCGATGCATGAGCCTGAGGAGTGGGCTCACTATCATCCCCCCTCAAGCTGGACGGGGGTGTGCATACGTGCAGCTTGTGAAGAAGATGAAGCAGACAGGTAGCTGGTAGACTTTTGGTGAAGAGATCTGCTAATTGCCCATGAGATGGTACGTGATGGACTTCTAGAATGTTGCGAGCAACCTGTTCTCAGACGAAGTGGTAGTTAACCTCGATGTGTTTCGAGCGAGCATGAAAAACTGGATTGGAGGTGAGAGCAGCAGCTGACATATTGTCACACCAGATGACCAGAGTGGAGAGAATAGGAACATGAAGCTCTTTGAACAGAGAGCACAGCCAAGAGATTTCCACAGCAGTGTGAGCAAGGCAGCGATATTCGGCTTTTGTGGAGGAACGAGCAACTGTGGGTTGTTTCCTAGCACACCAGGAAATAGGTTGTTTCATTGCAGTGAGGTGTGCTTCAATGGGTTGCTAGAGATGTTGGCAAGCTTGACAGACTGGGAAGGCGATGCCAGGCCGGGTGAGGGTGTCATATTGGAGTACTCCAATAAGACTTTTGTAGACGGTTGGATCCTTCACCGGTGGGCTTGAGGAGAAATCAATTTTGGTAGATGACGTCGGTGTGCAAGTTGGTTTGCAGCCACCCATATCTGCATGATCAAGAAAGTCGAGGATGTACTTGGACTGATGAAGGGATAATCCATCACTGGTGCGGTGTACCTGAATGCCAAGAAAGTATGATAACGGGCTGAGGTCCTTCATTTTGACAAATGAGTTGAGTTGTTTGACGAGAGAAGAAAGGGAAGATGGTTTGTTGCCTGTTATGATTATATCATCAACATATAACAGCAATAAAGCATGTGTGCCACCCTGATGGTAAGTGAATAAAGATGGATCAGAGGTGGAGGTGTGAAAGCCCAGTTCGACTATGACGGACCCAAATTTATCATACTAGGCCCGCGGGGCTTGGTGAAGCCCATAGATAGATTTGTGCATATGAAAAACATAATCAGAATGAGTGGGTTCCACGTAGCCTGGCAATTGAGCCATATACACCTCTTCATGAAGGTCACCATGCAAGGATGCACATTCAACATCTTGTTGGCATAGTGGACAGCCCAAGGAAACTGCAAATGAGAGTACAACGCGAATGGAGGTGTGCTTCACTACCGGACTGAATGTTTCAATGAAATCAATGCACGGTTGTTGGTGGAAACCCTTGGCGACCGAGCGAGCTTTGAAGCGTTGTACTGATCCATTGGGGTTACGCTTGATGCGGTACACCCATTTGCAGCCTACAACATTCATTCCAGGTTGGTAGGGAACCAACGACTAGGTCTTTTGCTCCCAAAGTGAATGAAATTCTTGGTCCATGGCGGTGTGCCAATCAGGGTGTTTAGACGCTTGGGTGTAGGAGGTCGGTTCAGTAAGGTGGAAGGTTGTAAGAGATGTTAGAAGGGGGTATTTGGTACTGTACGCCTTAGGTTTAAAGATCCTAGATTGGGAACTAGTGACCATAAGATGGGTGCATTGAGGCGTTGTGGACTGAGTAGGCGGTGGTGGGCCAGTGGTTGTTGGGTGTGGTGGTGGTTAAGAATGAGCTGTAGTTGAGGGTTCAAGCGAGGTAGGGAGTGAGCCCATGGTTAGAAGAGACTGGGCTGGGTTGTTGGGGCCTTGGAGACTGGTTAGCGATGGTACTGGGTGCTTCTGTGTGAGATGGTGGACCGGGAGGAGTCTGGATTGTGGAGGACTTGGAGGACGTGTGGTGTAGGAAGCGGGTTTTCGGTGTGGGCCAAACAACACTAGTAGGCCCATAAGAGGTTGGTAGCCATGGAGAACTGGTGAGCGGCTGAGGTTCTGATGGTGTGGTGGTTTGGGTTGAAGGGAGAGAAGGGAATGTGTGTTCATCAAAGACAACATGACGAGAGATGTAGACTTGCCCATTTGTAATGTCCTTGCACCTATAGCCCTTGTGGGACGGGTTGTATCCCAAGAAAATGCAACAGGCAGAACAATGGTGAAGTTTGTGTGTAGAATAGGGTTGTAGCCAAGGGAAGCAAAAACAGCCAAACGACTTGAGATGTGTGTAGTCCGGACGGGAGTGAAACAGCCGTTCAAACGGGGACTGTGAGCGGGAAGCTAAAAGGGGCATTCGGTTGATGAGATAAAGAGCAGTGGTGAAGGATTCATGCCAAAAGTGGATGAGTAAGAAGGGTGAGACCCATTTCAACGATGTGGCGATGTTTATGCTCAACCACATCGTTTTGTTCGGGTGTATGAGGGCAAGATAACTAGTGTGTAATGCCATGATCATTAAGAAAGGAAGATGATTTTGTTCCAAAGAATTCACCCCCCATCAGTGTGCAACACTTTTATCTTAGAATCAAGGAGATTTTTTATTTTGGCTTTGGAGGATACAAAAATGTCATAGAAATGCGATTTTAATTGCAATGGAAAGAACCAAGAGTAGTGAGTGTAATCATCAATGAATAAAGCATAGTACTTGATTTAGAAATAGAGAAAACCGGGGCTGGTCCCCATAAATCACATTGTAGAAGCTCTAATGGTTTGTTGGAATGGTGATGGACACTAGAAAAGGGGAGACGACATCTTTTGCCAAGTTGACAGGATGAACACATTGTGTTACTATCTTTATTCTTGATAGGTAATTATGAAAAAATTGCAAGCTGAATATCACAGGAGGGATGACCTAGACGATGGTGCCAGATGGTTTTAGTGGGGTTACGAGTGGTGAGAGTTGTGGGATTGTTGGTTGTTACTATGGGCTGAAAGGGGTAGAGTCCTCCTTCAGTCGGCCCTTGTTGCAGGATCCTCCCGGTCTTCTTGTCCTGTACAACAAAGCTAGAAGCATAAAAAACAAACTTGTAGTTATTATCTTTTGAAAATTGGTAAACTAATAGCAGGTTAGAGGAGGCATCGAGACAGTGAAGAACATAATTCAGATGAAAAGTATATGGATAGGTTAAAGTGGAGGTGCCGGTTTGTTTGATGTTTAAGCCATGTCCCGTTACCCACCGTGACCGAGTTGGAGCCAGTATAAGGGAGCAGGTTAGAAACCTTACCAATATCTGGAGTGATGTGGTCAGAGGCTCTAGTATCAAAGTACCATGTGCCGTCATCAAGAGGATCTCGGGAAGCTGCTGCCATTGTGACTAGTTTTTCTGGTGGATGTCTACCTTGGTAGGTGAGATTCAGCCTTAGGAAATAGTCAATGGCTATGTGTCCAACTTTGTTGCAGATTTGCTAGGTTGGTTTAGAGCTGTTATTGGTTGGACGCGGAGATGAAGTGGATTGGTGGCGCCCTTGATTTGATTGTGAAGGCTGCGGGGTGGTTGCATTTTGCTGTTGGTGGTTGGAATCATGCTATGGAGTGTATTGGTGATTTGAAGAGTTGGGATGGCGAGGATGCTCCTGTTGTCGTGTCTTGGCTGCAACAAGGGCATGAGAGTTCTCTGTAGGAGCATCTTCGACAAGGGACATCTCTTTGCAGATGAGCAGATCATGAAGTTCTTCCAGTGTGACAGCCGCAATCCGAGCACGTCCACGAATAGTAGAGGCAAATGGACGATATGATGATGGCAATCCATCCAAAATATAGATATGTAATTCATCATCAGATACGGGTGCACCACATCCCGCGAGTTGATAACTGATAGATTTAACTTGCTGGAGGTAGTCATGCATGGTGAGAGATCTCTTTTTCATACATTGAAGTTTCTTGTGAATGGAAGTGACGTGCATGGGGGTGGACGAGACATAACGATGTTCCAGAATATCCCACACTTCCTTGGATGACTTTATGCCAACCATGTAAGGCAGAGCCGATCTGGACAGAGTGACCTGTATCCAAGAGAGAAGCATCTAGTCATGTTCGTACCAGGTTTCGAACATTGGATCATCAGTACTTAGAGCTAATTTGGATCCATCGATGAAAGACATAAGCCGATGCCCTCTAAGAATGGGCTCGAACAATGATTTCCACAGGAGATAATTTGTGTTGTCGAGCTTTATGGGCACAAGATTGGAGATATTTGATATCACCAATGAAGAAGATGTTGGGAATGAACTGGCGTCAATCTGGGAAGTTGAGGTTGAAGCTGACATGATGATGATGATGCAGTTTTTCTATGGCTCTGATACCATAAAAAAGTGAGCAGAAAGTTGATTTTGAACAGAAAGATCACACACGCACTAGGTGATTATTGATAGTATTTATAGCTGTTTTGATATGGTTATCATGTACAAGGACAAATACAAGTGGAGATCAAATTGGTTAGGAATTTTGGCTTATCTTGATAAGTTACAGAAGATGAGGCTTATCTGGGTTAGCTAGCGTATGGATGAGGTTTATCTTGGATAGTTGGTGTGTGGGCCGATGCATGGGCTTGAGAAGTGGGCTCACTATCAGAACTTCCATTGTTTCAAAACCTGTACTGTTGTACATGATACATATATATCATAAAAAAATCAATCAACCTACACAATTGCACATCCATTCTCTCAAAAAGCAAAACTTATACATCCATGATCTATTAATCAATCTAACCCAAAACAAACATGTGCATCCATAATCCATTAACTTGTACTGATGCACATGATACATTAAGTCATTAACATTTAACCAATATAAACCGAAAGCATTAAACACTCCACTTGTATCATAAAAGTATTAGCTAATAAACTTGTATCCTAAAAGTGGTAAGTTAGAAACCACTAACTAATAGACTAATCAACATATATTATGGTACTAATAATGTTCAATTACCATAAAATATATATTGTAAAAGTTTCACATCATCCACAATATATTGTAAAATATATTGCCGGTGACGATGGAATCCTCTAGTTCAGCACTGTCATTGTCCTCCGCGGTTACGATGTCGGCATCATCCTCCTCTGTTACTAACAGCATGAAAGACTTGCTTTTGCATTTATGGTTGAGAGACCATTTTTGGTCGCAATTGTAGCATAATCCCCATTGTCGTCGTTCTTGCATTTCACTCGGTGTCAACCGCTTAATGGGGATATTTGAATTGTTGGCATGAGCTTGATGGCATGTGGTCGGATTAGGGGCCAGGAGAGCTGGGACAGTTGAAGGCGGAAGAACTGATTGCAGGGCATGTTTATTGCCAGACAGTGTAGGTGGCGGACCTGATATAGGTGCTGTGATTGAAGATGAATGTTGGGCTGAACTTGCGTTCCTACTCTGCCACCTTGTTATTGAACTAGAGCTCACGGGATTTCCATCGTACTTGGCTTCGAACATGCGAGCTAATGAGAAAGCTTCATTCAGGGATCTCGGCCACGCAATTAACAACTCTCGTTGTAGCATCGATTTTAGCCCAGATGTAAAAAAAGAGTTCAGCGAGGACTCTGAAATACTGGTGACTCTGTTCATCAGTCGTTCAAACTCTGCTTGGTATTCGCTCACCGACGCTCTTTGGATAAGTTTTGATAAGGCACCTTGGTAATCCTCAAATTGTGAAGGTCCGAATCGTAACAAGACTTGTTGGAGGAAATCGGCCCATCCGGTCAGTAAGTTGTTATTGGACATCCACTGGAACCATTTGGATGCCATCCCTTCCATATGAAATGCCACGATCCGTAATCTCTGTTCCTCTGCGGTCCCGACAAAATCGAAATATTGTTGTATGCGAAAGATCCATGTAAATGGGTCGGTACCGTTGAAGCGGGGAACTTCAAGTCTCAACGAACGGGCTATCTCGGAATCACCTGTTGTTTTTGTTCGGTTTTGGAGCACTGGTAGTGCGGGGGTAGGTAGCAATCCTGAAGAGTTTCCTCCATTGGTATCAACTCCCTTGCCACGAGCCTGAGTTTGCAGTTGCCCAAGTTGGTGTTGCATGGTTTCGAGTGATAATGTTTGAGTATCGTGTTTTGCTTGCAAGAATTGAATTTGAATATTCAAGGTGTCAAATTGTTGTTTCATGGCAGCAAGAAGGTTTTCTTGCATGGTGTTGAAAATTTCGGATTGGTCGGCCATAATTTYGAACGATAACRGGTGAAGATTGGTAGGCAATGAAAGCACCAATTTGATACGGCCTTGTATCGGCTCCGRCACTCTTYCGAGYGAGTGCTTACTCCTACGTGAAGGTAGAGGAAAGAAGAAWGGGGAAGAAACAGAATGAGAGAAGGCAACTAGGAAGATTAAGCAGAAAGTTTGGATATTATTTCACTCCCCCTCCCATAATACAGCAAAGGACAATATATTGAGTCATGCAAAATAATTAACCAAAACAACTTAACAAATAAGAAGCAAATCTCCTTGATTATAAGAAATCATTGTGACACAATTCTCTCCATCTATTTTCCTTGATTAGAGGTCCATCATCTCCACAAATCTGTCTTGACAGATTTCCTTTATTTGTAGATGTAATTATCATCCATCCGATGTGCCGCTTTCCTTACTCGGGTGGAACGTCTAACTTTGTGCTCATCTTGATTGATATTTTCCGGAATTGTTGGTGTATCATTCTCCTCCCCTTGTAGCACCACCTTGTCCTCAAGGTGTAGATTCAGATATATCACTCCACTATACAAGTACTTGAGTTTCAACCTTCCCATGTTTGAGAACCTGCCGCGTTGCACAAATTGCCACTAGTACCGAGACCGGTCTATTGTCCACCGCGTCTTGAGGCAATGCAAGTGGAGCACCGACTTCTTCGCCCCGTAAGGGCCTTAACGTCGAGATATGAAAGACGGGGTGGATTTTAGAATCAGCAAGTAAATCCAAGCGATATGCCATCGTGCCAATGCGCTCGAGGACTGTAAGTGGCCCATAATATTTTTTGGCCATCTTGTTGGATGACCTGTGCGCCACAGAAGATTGTCTGTAAGGTTGTAACTTGACCCATACCTTGGTCCCCGGTTCTAGACTTAGTTCCCTCGTTTCTTGTTAGCTTTTTGCTCCATGCGGTGCTGCGCCTCGCGGAGATGAATTTTCAACTGTTTAAGTAAGGAATCGCGTTCCTCCAACATCTCATCCAAAGCGTGGACCTTGGTGGTATTCTGGACATATGGTGGAATTATTGGCGGCAGACGTTCGTACAAGGCTTGGAATGGAGTCATTTTGATACTACTATGGTAACCGGTATTATAGTTGAATTCCGCCCACCCCAAATAATCATACCAGCTCTTTGGTTTGTCTTGGGAGAAAGCGCGTAAGTACTGCTCCAAGCCGCGGTTTACCACCTCAGATTGGCCATCGGTTTGAGGGTGATATGCGCTGGTATGCTTTAATGTCATCCCACTTGGCTCAAAAAGTTTGCTCCAGAATTTGCTCATAAAAATGGGATCTCGGTCAGACACGATTGTGCTAGGGAAACCATGGAGCTTGACCACCATGGTGGTAAACATGTCCGCAACCTTGATTGCCGAAAAATTTGTGGGTAATTCTCCAAAGTGGGCGTACTTTGTCAGCCTATCGACCACAACCATGATAACCGTATAACCATGGGATACGGATAGAGCCACCACAAAATCCATCGTCAAGTCACCCCAAACTTGTGACGGAATAGGGAGCGGTTGAAGCAATCCCGCTGGCACCTGTGTTGAATGTTTAATCTACTGACAGACCATGCACTCCGCCACAAATGTCTCCACATCCTTGCGCATTTTGGGCCAAAAGAAGTTGGTTGAAAGCCGCACCAGAGTACGTTTCACGACTACATGGCCTGCCATCGGGGTCGAATGAAACTCCTGTAGTAGTCTGTTCTTAACAACGGAGTCAGGGCTAATATAAAATTACCCTTTGTAAATCAAGAGCCCATCATGTCTGGTATAGTCAGGGGGCAACGAACCAGTGTCAAGTTTTTGATGAAGCTGTATCAAGTCGGGTAGTGTACCGTTCTCAATGCACAGCTGATCCAAAAATGCTGGGGTCGAGAAACTCGTGATCATCATGGATTAAGCAGGTTCAGACTCCGATGGCTCGTCTTCATGCATGCGGGACAAAGCGTCAGCCACATGGTTAGCATGCCCGGGCTTGTATTTAATCTGAAAATTATAGCCCAATAGCTTTCGGACATAAATCTGTTGCTCTGGAGTTTGCACCACCTGCTGAAGAAGTTCCTCAATACTGCGGTGATCTGTACGGATAATGAAGAAACGACCCAACAGATATTGTTGCCATTTGTGAACCGCCTCAACAATGGCGTAGAGTTCCTTCGGGTAAGTTGAGACGGCGCGCATTCGTATCCCCAACTTCTTGCTAAAGAAGGCAATTGGTTGGTTTTCTTGCATCAACACCACACCCACCCCCACGTTGAACGCATCCGTTTCGATGATAAATGTGAGATCAAAGTTGGGTAGTCTTAGCATGGGAGCATGCGACATTGCCTCTTTTAACGCTTCGAACACAGCGTCTGTGTTTTCTGTCCATTTAAACTGGTCCTTCTCTAGCAATTCGGTCAGTGATGCCGTGATGTGGGCATACCCCTTAATAAATCGGCGGTAGTAACCCGTAAGCCCCAAAACCCCACGATGTTGCTTGAGAGTTGTAATTGGTGGCCAATTGAGCATAGTATCAACCTTCCTGGGATCGGCATGCACCCGTGTTCATCCACTATGTGACCCAAGTAATCAATGGAATGTTGACAAAAATGGCATTTGGAGAGCGTTACATAAAATTGATTAATTTCCAAGCATTGAAGAACTTGTTGCAAGTGCTGGACATGCTCCTCATTGGCGTTGTATATCAGAATGTCGTCGAAGAAGACGACAACGAATTTACGTAAATGGGAAGCTAGCGCCTTGTTCATGGTGGCCTGAAATGTGGACGTCGCGTTCGACAA